CATTCGCCTTTAACAATGGCATACTTTTATATACAGTCGACTTTCGTTGTCTTGAAGTCATTGGGACCGTCCAAAAAATATCGAGATAACGAAATTTCGAGATAAACGTATAAGGTTTGAACAAGGTAGTAACTGATTTTTACAAAGGCATGTGTATACCTTAAGTCAAATAAATTAAAAGTATGATATCACCATGTCTTGTTTTTTTAGCCTTATATCCCAAAGTCTATATTTAACAATTTTAAATTAGCAGATGTTTACCAGCGGAAAAATGGAAGTCTGTGATAAAAACACATAGTGAGGTTTACTCAGTAATACACCACTATAGTGAAAACGTTTTCAACATGGTCGATCCAGACATCCTCCCGAGTTGGTTATCCAGACCATTCTCGAGATAGTTATACCGCTGTTTGATTTTTTTTGATGTTGTAAAACAATATTGCAACGATAATGTTTCTATACTGAATTTTTTTTTCATTTACATCTAAAGTCACAATGAATTTAATAGTGTTTAAATATTTTAAAAAATAGTGGAAGATTCACTCATTTTGGACATAAGTCAATCAATACATTAATTAGGTAAACTTTCATGAAAAAAGCTCGACTTGTTACAAACATAGTCATCCTTTTGACACATGCTATTAAGTGATTATTGTCTGGTTTGTGTTTTTCACACCTCTGCAGGGAGAGACAAAAAATTTATAGTTGAGATAAAGAAAGGATAATAGCGTGAAAATTACTGTCGGGGCTGAAATTTTACTTCGAGATACTGAAAATATCAAAATAAAAATATCGAGATAAACAAATATTTCCAATATAGATAAAGAAGGAAGAAAATCGGGACTTTCAAAATTTCATTGAGATAACGAAATATCGAGAAAAGCGATGTCAAGATAACGATAGTTGACTGTATTTGTACATCATAAATTAAGTGTTAGTTTGATGAGATATGATAACACAACAAATATTTTGACATTAACAAATACATAAATATAAATTTAAATGAAAACCAATATGGATCTTATTATGAAGTAAGAGTGTTATACATGTATTATAAGAACAAGTCTAAGATGTCTTATAGATAATAGATTTTTTTTGCTCAACCTTTTACCTCAAACAAGCCATAAATGTAAGCAAGGTACTACCTATGTTTTGAATTGTCTGCTAGAGTATGACATAATTACATATATACCAAAAGGCAATTTGACAAACATGCAATACACAGTAATCTATTATTATACATTTTAGGTAAAACATGGCAGTCTCAGGAAAGAAAGCATCAAAACAATTTTCATCATCTACAACATCCATGGCATCAGATGAAGATCTTCAAATTTACTGCCAGCCTTGTGACGAGGAAGGACCTAGACTACCTGCCCATGGTTACTGCACTGACTGCAAGGAACACCTCTGCAAGAATTGTTTTACAGCACATAAAGTGAGTAGGCTTTCAAAACATCACACACTTCAGGACGCTACTAATATGCCTAAAGTATTGCAGCAACCCTCAACATCCATTCACACAGGCCAGTCTGATGTCCTGACCACACCCTGTCTTAAACATCCACAAGAAATGATCAAGTTCTACTGCAATGACCATAAAAAATTACTTTGCAGTGTTTGTGTTACCCTTGAACATCAAGCTACTTCCTGCAAAGTTGATTATATACCAGACATTTCTGGTGATATAATAGACAGCAAACAATATCAAGATATTCTAAAAACATTGAATCACACTTCTGACCAATTTCAACAGATGGTAGAAGATGTCAAGAACATGACAAACAAATCAAACAGCTCTCTCAAAGATGCATTAGCAGCAATCAAAAAGTTTCGGCAAGAAATCAACCAAAGACTAGATGAACTTGAGAGACAGGCTGAAGATGCAGCTAAAGGCATAGAACAAGAAAACAACAAACATCTGAAAGCAGCAGAAACAACATATGAAGATATAACCAAATCTCTGAAAACATCATCAGATAACATCAAACAACTCAACACATCAAAACAGGCCAACAAACTTTTCATGGAACTTAAACTTGCAGAGAAAACAATACAGAATGTGGAGGGAAAAACTCAACAACTTTTATCATATGATATCAAAGAGCACAACTTTCGATCAAATGATGTCATATTAAATTTCCTTAAAACAGAGAAGTCACTGGGTACATTGTCACATAAAACTTTTCATAAAGAATGTCAGTCTGTACAAATAAAGTCTAGACAAACTTCACATGCGAGAAAGATCAGTGTGGAGACATCAAAAGATGAATACATATGCTATATAACAGGAATGACTCTGCTGACTCCTGGTCTTCTTATCATCACTGACTACAATAACGATGCTGTTAAGATGGTGGATATCAGCAGTCAATCTGTGTCTGATCAACTACAACTAGATGATATACCATGGGATATCACCACAGTAACCAGTACTGAACTTGCTGTCACACTTCCTGACAAACAAACAATACAATTTATATCAATCTCATCAAACAAACTCATAAAGAAGCACACTGTGAAGGTTGATGGAGAATGTTATGGTATAAGCTGTTATCAAGGTAAACTTGTTGTGTCATTCCTTAATCCTGCAAAACTTCAGATCTTTGATATGAATGGCACTATACTGACAACAATTGATGGAAAAAATATTTTCAAATATCCATGGTATATCACATGTAACAGAAGTTCTATCTATGTATCTGACTGGGACATGAAGACAGTAACAAGATTAAACTGGCAAGGTGATGTGATAGGTAGTTATAGTGGTATGAGTGATCCTAGAGGAATGTCACTGTCAGATGATGGTACTGTCTTTGTGTGTGACTGGGAGAGAAATGTTATAGAAGAGATATCAGGAGATTGTTCTACAGGAAAGGTGGTGCTGCAGGATCTGAAGAGACCATGGGCTGTATGTTGGTGTGGAGAAACAAAGAAGCTGTATTACAGCTGTAATGCTTTAGATGCAAAATATGACAACTTCATTCACATCTATAAACTGTCGTAGAACAATACAACTTTAACTGTATTTTATCAAAACCAGTTAATACCCAATTCACTGCCTATGTTTGTTATTTTGTCAACATTTAAGTGGGTAGATCTACAGTAAGCACATTTTCCATAAGTGTTTTAAAAAATTGCTATAAACAAAAGAAATGTATCATTTGGAAATTGTATTTAAATATTGCTTGGGAAAAAGTGTTATTAATGTTTTAACTAGTATACATAGTATGAAACATGTATATGATGGATAATAATATTTTGTTATAGAACATTTTTATTATCTGCAATATAAATATATGTATTATCGGATCATGTGTCTCACACCTGCCAACAAGATTCATAGAAATTTTTTTTGTGGTTTGTATTTATATCTAATACTAAACACTTTCAACATCATAATTTTTTGTTTTACAAATCATCCATTATAGACCGATTCACTTTACAGTAAGCCATTAAAAATAAAATTGGTTTTGTCATATAATCATATTACAAATTTAGGGAAGAACTGCTTTAAAATATTTAAAAGCCTATGTGATTTGGTCACATGCTCTTTAATTAACATTACGGTTGAATGATCTGAGGAAATCTTATGCTGATGAAGAACTTGTGTGATGATTTTACAAGAAAGCTACAATATTGAATAATGGTAATGAAAATACTGAATAATGATAAATTTTACATTTACTATCTGTAAATAGTAAAAAAATAATAAAAAAATAATTATTCAACTGCAAATTTTAAATACCTATTTTATGCATATTGATAATGTAATACATTTTTTGAAAAGACTTTTAAAAGAGATTTGCTTGGATATATCATTTGAATACTTTATCACCAAATGGAACAAATTGCAAAGTTCTGTTTTAATGCATTTCTCTTTTTATTTCTGTAAATAACTAAAAAGTATTTTTTATATACCTTAGTCGTTTTTTTAGTGTTTTTACTTAATAAAGTTTTACCAGTGTTTCACTTAATATTTGTTTTACTGGTGTTTCACTTAATATTTACTAACTGAAATACTTGAACAATCCTGAATTTAAGCGAGTAAGCACTGTGACTTAAATTTGTTTTCTTACATAGATACACATGTTATAATTTATGTATAAATTTTGTACAGGACAATGTGATGCTACATGCCAGATACCTATGCTCTTAACATTATAGTTTTATAGAAAAATTTGTAAAGATTTTATTTTTAAACATTTTTAGCTCATATATCCCATGTGTGCAATGGACTGACATAATCTATATAACTTTTGTACAGGACAATGTGATGTTACATACCAGATACCTATGCTCTTGACATTAAAGCTACATTTAATAAATTTCATAAAAAAACTGACATTGCATTAATAAATTGGGTTTCATATCGATACCAGGTCTTATTTTAGTGTCCAGGCAACTAAAATGAGTTTTAAAGGCATAAAAAAGGGTAACCTCATTGTGGCGAAATGGGAAATACAATTTCTGTTTGCATGAGAAACTCCGCCTTCGGATCATCCGTACATCAATATTGAATCAACAAACATGACTATAAGTAGTAATCCTAATTTAACGGTATATTTCCCACATTGTAACGGATGTTTTTATACAAATTTAATCTATTTATGAGATGATTACTTTTTCTGAACCCCAGGCTTAGTGCACCGTGAAGCTAAAACGGTAAAAGTGTGTTTGCACAAGAAAATATCATATTTGCTGTGTTCCGGATAGGAACTATTAAACTGTGACGTAGCGCATACATGAACTCATAATAGGCTTCATTTGCATGTTAAAATTCGTATACGAACTTTAGTGTTACCGTGGGGTTTTCCGTTTAAAATCCTAATTTATGAACAATATTTGATGAGATTTACAACAATACTGTTAAACATGTTAATGAAACTGTAGAATGCTTGATTTTTAGGCCGACGGCAAAATATTTTTAAAATATTTATTTAATGTAGCTTTAAAGTTTTATAGAAGATTTGTAAAGATTTTATTTTTAAACTATTATCAGCTCATGTGACATACTTGTGCATCGGACTGGCATCATTTATATATAACTTTTGTACAGGGTCATTTAAGGATCATTCCTTTAGGTCAAAATTCACACATTGTTTAAGTAAATGTTGTTATATGAATTGTTGAGAACAACAGACAAATTGCAATGAGTACTTGATGCTCAGGTGAGCTAAAAGAACATCAGAATATAAATCAGAGAATCTTTAGGATGTTTACCTGTGAGGCTGTCTGTACAAGTTTGAAACAATCTAGTAGCTTGATGTAACTTTCAAACAGCATAACTAGTTGGAAAATTAGTTTATATAACTTTTGGCACAGATCTAATTTCTGAAAAAAAGAGAAGAAAACCTGATAAACTGTATCAAATTTTTCTACATGTGATTTTTTGCTTGTATGCATTTTTAGAAAATAAAGTTTGATTTTACAAAGTGATAATTATTTTGAATCATGATTGTCCCCAATTTCTAACCTGAAATACATTGATGGCAGTCACACTTATTTAATATAAAAGCAATTTCGGGTTTAATGTCCCAACAACACTTTAGGTTATATGGCGACTTTCCATCCCTAGTTAGTAACAACACTTATGGTGACATAGTAATGTAATTTAAGTTTTGAGTCGTGTTCTATGTTTATATCCAGGGTATTGAATTCATTAAGATTTCTAAAAGAAACAAGAACGTGTTTGTTAAACACAAATGCCCCCGGCTCAGATTCTTGTCAGTAGCAATACTTCAAAAAATGTTTACCCATTCACTCAGTTATGGACAGAAAAATCACCAAAAAATTGTAAACACAAGTTTTATAACTTGACAAAGTCATGGCATTTTGTAATTGTGAAAAATATAAGTTGCCAAGTCATTGCTCTGACTTGTGAAGTTGAAAAATATTTAACTTCATGCAAGTTATCTTCCTACCAAATATGAAATACATCTGTCACTTAATAAAGGCTGTATGAGCAAATGTGTAAAAATCTATTTTAGCTTTGGTGACCTTGACCCAACTGACCACTAACTCCATCAAAGTTTATGTTTCTATCAATTATAAATAATATCTGTCTATAGAATAAGGTCAATACACCTGTAAAAATGTAAAAATCTATTTTTAACATTGGTGACCTTGACATTGGTTACATTGACCTTGACCCAAATGACCCCATACTACATCCAAAGAAGGAGGTGTTTGTATTAAACTAAGACATCAACTAAAAATCAAGGCTGTATGAGCAAAAAGGTTTATATTTATTTTTTAAACCAGTGACCTTGACCCTAGAGACCGCTTACTCCAATAAAAATTGGAGGACCATCAAAGGTATCCACAAACTAAATATGAAAGATATCAGTAAAGAAATTAAGCAATTAGGAGAAATTTAAGATAAATCCAACTTGCCGAAATAGGTTAACAAGACAAGGCCCTATTTTCAAAATGAAAAAAAGGGAAATAACTGGGAAATATGGATGACACAGTTATATAACTTGGCAATATCATGTGCTTTGTATTGATAAGTAAGTGTGGAAATTATAAAGCCATTAGTAAAGATAGCACTTAAGATATTTCCAACTTGCCGTTTTAGGTTAACCATTATTCATTTTCTAAGTGCTGAAAAGGGCAATAACTTGGTAAATATGAAAGCCAGAGTTATGAAACTTGCCCAGATTATGTACTTAGTATTGATTAGTAAGTGTGTAAACTTAGAAGCCATTGGTTTAGGTAGAAATGAAGAAAAATCCAACTTGCCGTTCTAGGTTAACCTCGTACGGACAGACGGACGGACAGACGGACGGTTCAATTACTATATGCCCGGGGCATAAAAAGGTTTCATATTAAAAGACACACATTCACCTTGCGGTCCTCTACAAATGTTACATAAATCGTTCCCTTTTTGTCAAAAATGGCCCACCCTATGTGTCACTTAGGCTATCAAAATATTACCTGTTCTTCACTACATTGTATAGGAAAGCTTCCACCATCACCAAGTGATTGTTGTTTACTTGATACCTTGATTTCTTCTAAACTCTAAAACATAAATTTACATCAATATGAAATAATTCAGAGATAGTTAATAATGACAGCTTATTTCCTAATTGTATGAGGAAGCATTACCTAATGGTTCTTATTGTTTTATTTAAAACTTTTAAAATTGAGATGGATTGAGTAGAAAGCTATACATTATCTTAAATTAATCCACGTAAATCTTAAAGGGTATAAAGCTTTGTCAGTAGAATAGTTATTTGTTTATTAATAAAATCATACCAAAGTAGCTAAAATGAAAGTATGTAAAGCTGATTGTGTATTCACAAATGCAAAAGTAATTTTCCAAAATTAGAAGCAATAAATGTTTTGTTTGGGAAAATTTTATTCTGGTTTCATTTATAATTCTTGCTTGAAATATACAGACGTTCTTAATGTTTCTCCAGGTATGACCATAATACTGTTTAATCCAATTCACTACTTACAGCTTTACACCAATTTTTCTCTAGAACAAAAATAACAAACCTGTTCAGCTTGGTCTTTCCTCATACAGTAGGTCTCAAAACATTCCTGCATCTCTAGTAAACAATACTTGTGTTTGTCTACCACTCTACTACCAACCAACTAAATATACAAATAGATAATATCATTAAATATATTACATCAATATTGTTCATTAAATAATATAACACCTATGTCACAAAATTTTCTTTTATAAAACATCACTTTCAGCTCATGACCAAAATATTACAATTATCACCTCTACACAGACGATCAATAAGATAATCATGAATAAATCAGTGACAATTATATTCTATTTTCATTCTGGACACTTTCGTTTTTTGTTGCGTATTACGGCAAACCAACACAGTTAATGTTATATAGCACCAGAACTTGAAAGACGATTTTGGCCAACCCTAGGTGTTACAAACATGGTTTTGTGAAAATAAATCGCTTTTTTAGGTAAAAATAGCTTCTTTAAGACTCATACATACCACATCGGTTTCAATGAAGAAATATGGACATTCCAGATGAGTGAACATGGTATCTAATGCCTGCAGTAAACTAAGTTAAGGTCAAATAAAATCAATAACTTTGGTTAGCGCTTACATCACTTTCAACAATATTAATTTACCTCCCATATAAAATGAGGCAAACATGTATACCCATGTATTCTGACAAGATCTTGTTCTATTTTGTTTGTTTTGTAACTTTAAATTCAAAGTGACTACGTAAAGGACATATGGATACTTTCCAAATTTTCAGATTTTACAGCTGACTAAAACCACAGACATACTAACCCCTCTGTAAATTAGGTGAATAGCTTTTTCTAATGAAAGAATTCTTGACACAATTTTGAACACAAAGTTGATTAATCTACATTGTTCACAGCTCGAAAGCACTATTTTAAATTAAGTTTTCATTGTAACAAAAACAAGCATATTATACAAATTCAGCCAGGGAAATGCCAATATTGATAGTTTTAGGAATAAATGCAAAGGCTTCTTAAATACTAATACAAGTTTGTGACTTCAAATCAAACTTAAGCTAAACTTTACAAAGGATATATAACTGAGCTCCAATATGTTTCAGTCCCTCTGTTTTGGAAATATAATACACAGCATCTTTAGTTAATGTAGCAAGTCTTCTCCTCAACTCCTGTAAATAATGTATCAACTTGAAATATTAAAATAACATTATGTTTATTTAGTTGGGTTTAACGTTACACCAACACAGTTAAGGTCATGGGGAGGTTCCAGCTTGACTGCTGGAGGAAGACCTCAGGTGCCCCTCTGTACACAAACAGGCCAGGCATGAAAAGGTACCTTAGTAGAACCACCAACGCTCAAGTTCTACAGCAGATAGGAGTGAATCTTCAAATTTCAAAAGCTCATAACCATATGCATCAATTCTACTATAAGTGTTCCATATCATTTGCACTAATTTAATGTAATATTTAACTAGACATTTTATCCATTATTAAAGCTGCATGCTTCTAGATGAGCCAAAATATGTCAAGGAAATTAAACTTGTAAAAAATGTACTGAGATTTCAAGAAAAGAGTAATCATTTCCATGTTATGTGCGATTTATGACCAATTTTACATTTTTTTTCACAATATTTCTACTGTGTGACTAACGCAGTAAGGGCTATTTTTACATGATTTGACCTCTTTCTGGTAAATTACATGGGTTGTAACTGCCCTTTGCAATGAGTAAATTATTTTCTTTGTTCACTTCGCAATATTTTACTTTTAAATACATTTCAAAATTTTCATGAAAATTAGCATGAATCTATGGGCGTGTTGCTTTAAGAGAAAACAGTTACCCTGTAAAGTTTGGGGAAGATCTGCGACGTATAAACTGTATTGGTCACAGATGACTCTGAGATGACCTTTGACACGTGTTGTTTCCACGTCTCGTCAACCTCGTCACCTTGGTTCATCAAGTACACATAGCTGACAAGAAAGTTTGGGAATGTTACAGATGAAGCGCTTGCTCCAAGGTCGACTAAATCTGGGTCATCGCTACAGATGCTGTCAACACTATGTCTGAAATAGGAAAGTCTCCCTCATTCAGTAATATCATTGTGATAACAACTACAGTCTGAGTCAACCAATATAATATGGATATGTAATTTGAAAATAAATATTGTAATCCGCAATATAAAAGGGATATGTAAAATAAAAATAAATATTCGAATCATTGATGTTAAAAACAGCATGCATCCAGGAGATGACAGAAAAAACTAACGACTTATAATATTTATGTTCATATATTATTATTTTTGCTCTGAAAACAGAAAGTTCAATTTTTTCCGCCATTGGATATACCTTCTTTTATTACACTATGAAATTTTTTCATCCAGGTTCTTTTTTTCTAGTAGCATGTGATGGTACAGGACAATGTCGTCACCTGTGATCTGGAGCCCAGGAATCTGAGATCGTTTCAAACATACAGGGAAACAAATAAACTGCTTTGGTTGTGATATTTGCTGTAATTTGTGACATAAAGAATTAGAATTGTATATAATTTGTAATATTACTATTTTCTTACACAGATTCAGTCATGGGACTATTTTATTGCTCCTCCATCAGTCTGTTCTGTATAAAAATCACATTGCTAGCACATGGTGTTATACTTCTGTGATGAAGCTCATCTGTGTCCGATGACACAGACTGGTAAAACAAGTTTAATCGATAAAGTGTTTGCCCCTCAACTTAAGTTTCGTGGGTTCGATTTCTCCTATGGAACATGTAGTGCTGAGCTCCGAGAAGCAGACTACAAGGTGAGTTACATGAACTTAAGATATTGGATGTATAATTAACACTTTTTCAAAAGGCTTTTAAAACTTAATATAAATAAACTGTACTTTATTATGGACATAAATATAAAAAATAACAAAAGTTTACCAAGGATACCGTCATTCACATTCAAGTTTAAATAAATATAGTTAAACTTAAACAAAGAAAATATTTTCAATACAGAAGGTTTAAAGGGAGATTTTTCACATTTAATTAAAATCATTTGCTGTTTTACGAATGAACAAGTGCATCTTTATTACCTCCCTTCCTTACAATGTATCCCTGTCTGTGTATATATATCATGTAAAATACTTTGATAGGCGAATTAAGATCTGACGCGCTGCCAAACTGTCACGACTTGTGTCTAGGATAATTCGGATAAGAAGAATCATTGAATAAATGATGTACTGAATGGGAATGAAGATAACCAAATGTGCTATGAATGATAATTTAGAAATTACCGTTGCCCTAAAACTTGGACATAAACAAGTGTGATAACCTTAAACATACATAAACTATATATTGTGTCATAATTGCGTGTACTTTCATTATGAGTCCAAAAAAATATTTAATGGACTCCTACTTTCAATTTAAAACTTTTATTTTTTGATTAAATGAATGTTGATATGTTAACGCTTATAATGAAATGCTTACAGTTTTAAGTCTTATAAGAGTGATGGACGTATTGATAGAGTCTCTGCTTGATGAGGCTTACAAACAATATCAACATAGAGAGACTTGTAAAAACTTGGGTATACAGTATAACCTATTTTCATACTGCTGGAAGTGCTGGTGGCATTGGTTTGTTGTTAACAATATATGCATTTTAAGAGGTTTAAATAAAGAACTAGCATTGTATACCTTGATGTTCATCAAATGAATGCTTTCTTTATTATAAATATAAAATGCAAGAAATGTTATTTTTGCCTGACATTGAAACAAAAGAACAAACATTTAACATAAGGTAAAGAAACAGCAAAAGTTAATAAAATGTTTTTTACAATTTAATTCTATCAATACATTAGGTTTTATATTACAATTAAGTTGTGGGATAATGATGACTAATACAAATACTATTTTTATCATCATAAAAATGGCATGAAAATGTGAAAAATGTGAAAAATCTGAATATGTTGAAAGACAAAATAGATGTGAAAATTACATAATCAAGAAATCATTATACACGTTCAATTGTATTAAATAAGATAAAACGATAGGTTTGTAAATGTAGTGAAACACACAGAATGAGAAAGGGTTGTCATCAAGATTAACAATAGCTAAAAGGCAATTCGTTTTGTGAAATGAAAAAACTGATAATTGAAAAGTACATTTAGATAAAGCAAATACATCAATACACATCAAAAGCATGTTGGTAAAAATACAAATTTTGGTAACAAAAGAGCAGATCCAGAAAGTTTAATAGTAAATCCAGACAAACTAAAAATCTAAAGGGAAATCCAGAAGTTTAAATAAAGATAGTTAAAAACTCAAGCAAATAAATCCAGATAGATAAATAATAGATCCTGATACTATTAAAAGCAATTCATAAAGAACATGTTTTTATTTATTTACCTAACTTCTCAATTTGAATTAAGTGTTGAAAAACTGCTGATATAATGGCTTAAAGGAGTGACTAGGACAAAGAGACAATGACTCACAATCCTGGTACATGTTTTCTTTTCAGCCAATAATTAAAGCCATGATTGATAACTGAACAGTAAAACAGTTTTACGCCAGACAAAACTGTACAATGAGGGGGTATCCATCTTATTAACTGGTTGCAAAGATTTACTGACTGTATACATAAATAGAAGTATATATGGCCTGGGTCTAGAGAATTGTCAATAATGCCCATATTGCTCCCAAGATTTACGGAGAAGAAAAAAACGTTCTTATTTATTTTAAAATAAAATAAGGAGCATTTCATCATTCAATGCTTTAATATTTGATTATATACTATTTAAGAATCTAAATGTACACTTACTGAAATAATATGGTAAACATTGCAGTAAAATATACCTTTCAAATAAATATTATATTAATTTGAATATACCAAAATGAAGATTGGCTTTGCCATCATTTTTTTCAAAGACACACACAAGATATAACACAGAAATAATTTATAAATAACTTAAACTACTAAATTAGCACATTCAAATAAAAAGACCTAGTAGGAAAAGGATGTGTATGTAGCTATAATGTTTCAATAATAGATATAGATACAAATGAATTGTTTTATTTATTTCAAATTTATTTATCAACCTTTATCTTAAACCTGTTTAAATGTGTCTGCATTTAAAGGAACCCCACTAGGGTCCAAAAAGCATCAAAAACATTAAATTTGAGTTTTTTACATAGATCAACTCTGGCACAGAGATATTCAAAATATTATTGAGAAATATACTCGGAAATAGATTAAAAACTGTATGAAAATCGATGCAGCATGTATCGTGCCTTTTTAGCAGTATTAAATTTTCAACACGAAAATCAACATAATCAATGATCCTGTAAAAATAACACTGTAATGAAGTATAGGGAACTTGAAATTATTTTACATCTGCCACACATTATATTACACGATTTTAGAGCGTTAAAATCTGTAACAGGTAAAAATTATTTCCATGTCTTTGTTGATAATTTGTTTAAAAAATTTGCATTTTATTTTATCGATTTATTTGTCAATGCATCTCATACACTATCATTATTTTATTTCATGATTTCGATGAACAAAAATTCATTTATATATAGAGACTAAGTGGAATCTAATGTTTGTATGTATCATGTTGACAATGATCATGTACAACAAAATGAGGGAATTTACAATAGTGACATACTGTATATATCACAACAAATATTTCTCTAACAAAGTCTACAACCTTTCTAATTAACATTAACATATTTAGAAGGACAAACAACAAATTTGGCACTTCTTACAAATAAAGTAACATGACATGATTTTGTTCTCTGTAGAAAATTGTTAAAACATATCATTTTATCATATCATAAGTAGACATTAAACAATTTAATTTTGCTCAATTATGAAATGTAATGGTACCCTGATTGTTTGATGTAGAAAAAGCCTAGCACAGGTGACACACTATAACTATGACTGTGCTTGACAAGAAAAAAATACATTTTTGTTCACACATTACCATATGATATATCATTAAAAAAATATACAAAAATTGTCCCAAATTTAGCAATAAGGATGTATACTTATTCTATTTCATCCCATATTAGTTTACTAGTATTCTCAAAATATAAACATCTCAACTGAGTTTAATACACATTCAACAATCACTTAACAATGAGATAAAATCAATCCTTGTCTGAAAAAAATGTGATCCCTCGGAAGCATCAATTACAACAAAATTACATGAAAATTGCAGACTCTGTTTGATTGAGCCTGTACATAAGGGATACTGAAAAAGTGCATCATCCCACACTCCTTCTAGCACCAGCTTAAGCGGTACTCAATTTCCAACACTTAAAAGTGTTGTAAGCCATGTTTACTTTCTTTATAAACTCTCTCACAAAGCAAGAAATATTGATGATGTAATCAAAATATGTGATATACTAAATACTGTGATACCATCATTATTTACTCAAGTCCAATAAACTGTAGTTTTCTGTCCAGATCAGAATACATTTCACCATCATTATTTACTCGAGTCCAGTAAATTATAGTTTTCTGTTCTGATCAGAATACATATTATCATTTTTATTTTATTTTTATTTATTCAAGTCCAATTAATTGTAGTTTTCTTGTCAACCTTTTAATATTTATACTATCATAATGTACTGGAGTCCAATAAATCGTTGTTTCCTGTGCATGATTGTTGAGGAGAGGGTATAGTCCAGTTTCTAATTTGTTGATTAATGTCCAATAACTGGCTATATAACAAACCAATGTCAAACTCCACCTTTGTTAATACAAATACACCTGAAACATAACAAACATAGTTGATTTAATCTTGATAATAACATTCAACATTAATAATTATTGCAACATTTCTCTAAAAAAATTCCAAGATCTTGTACAACTATGAAATATTGATAATTTGAGAGTACTGTTACCTGTTTTCTTTTCAGCCATTTCAATACAAAATACATTGAGCAGGGTAACTAAGTCATCATCTTGTGATTGTCCAAACATGTCACCAGGCCACATTGTCCTGAAATGTCAATGAATTGCTAATAATAAACTGGAAGGCACAGAGTAAAGTGTGAGTGTAACATTTCGTTTAGTGATATAAAGAATGTAAGGGTGCTGTAATGATACAAGCTTGATATTAAAATCGTTCCAAGACAAGCAATTATGCTGTTTTCAGGTCCATTTCGTCTTAAAAAATCCTTCTAATTTTAGTGAAATGAAGGAATTTATATTTTAAATACTAACAACTATGAGCTTTGGTCATCATGTTCAGTAAGAAAGTTTATTTTTTATTTTTTTATCATTTGTTCATGTAAGTTCCAATGTCTATTTATCAATTAGCCCTGATCGATAAGAATTTTTTACCCATTTATCTATGTTTACAACTGTTTTCACATATCAAACATATTAACAAGTAATTTTAGTTCATTTACATGTGAAAATGGTTAGAAGTCATAGTTTTTCTGCAGATTAAATATCCTGTTGATGTTAAATACTGGTTTTAATAAATTACTTATAGAGATTAATTTTTCTATGGATAACTATAACAAAATATTTTAATCTATACCTGAAAGATCTGACAAGCTGTATTGCTTTTTGGTATTGTTGACTTTTGATATACTCTGTAAGACTGGAGAATGCATCTTGTTTTGTGACTGGTTTAGGGGAGTCAACATTCAGTGGTGATGCCTGACCATTCTCTAGCTCTGACATGGCAGCAGTGACCTCCCCTTTGATACTCTCCACTTGTCCAGAAATATCATTTACCTAAATATAGCAAACGGTACACATATTTTATCAAGCATTTTAACTTTATTGCCTATAATTAAAGTTTTGTTCTATGCTAGTGTACTCAGCTGAATTTCCCTTAGAACAGACAAACAAGAGGGCCAAGATGGTCCTAGATCGCTCACCTGACCCATCAAACTCAGCAGTTACCTAGACAAGCATTTTGACCAAATGTGATGACAATTGAGTAAACAAGGAGGCCATGATGGCCCTGAAGTCCCTCACCTGTATTTAGGCCCCCGAAGTGGGGCCAGTTAAAACCCCAGGGCTTTTATTTGAACAAACTTGGTAGACACCCATTAGAAGATGTTTCATGCTAAACATCTAAGGTCTAGCTCGTTGGGTTTTTAAAAAGAAGATTTTTAAGTTTTTTCTTTACACATATAGTTAAAAATAATGCATCCCTGGAACAGGGCCAGTTTTGACCCCAGGGCTTTTATTTGAACATTCTTTGTAGACACTTACTATAAAATGTTTCATGCTTAATATCTAAACTCTAGCTATTCAAGTTTTTTCAAAGAAGATTTTTAAGGTTTTTCTTTACACATATAAGGAAAATCAATGTCCCCCGGGGCGGGGCCAATTTTGACCCCAGGGCTTTTATTTGAACAAACTTTGTAGACACTCACTAGAAGATGCTTCATGCTGAATATCTAAACTCTAGCTATTTGAGGTTTTTCAAAGAAGATTTTTTTAAGTTTTTGCTATACACATATAAGGAAAATCAATGACCCCCAGGGTGGGGCCAATTTTGACCCCAGGGCTTTTATTTAAACAAACCTTGTAGACATACATTAGCACATGTTTCATGGTAAATATCTTAGCTATAGCTCTTTGGGTTCTTTAAATGAAGATTTTTTAAGTTTTTACTATATGCAAATAGGAAAAAATTAATGACACCCTGGGGCGGGGCCAATTTTGACCCCAGGGCTTTTATTTGAATAAAATTGGTAGACATTCACTAGAAGATGTTTCATGCCATATATCTAAGCACTAGCTCTTTGGGTATTTTAGAAGAAGATATTTAAATTCTTTCTTTTGGTTGCCATGGCAACCAGAGTTTTGCATGGAATTAAATTCTTTGAACAATTTTCAAAGGTGACCACCAAAGGAACATTCCTGTGAAGTTTGGATGAAATTGGCTTAGTGGTTTATGACGAGATGTCATTTAAAGTAAAAGTTTACGGCCGACGGACGGACGCCGGACGAAAAGCGATGTTTATCCATATTTAGGCAGTGTGACCTAGTTTTCGACCCCAGGTAACACATATTCAAACTTGACCCAGAAATCATCAAAACAAACTTGCCAACCATATATTAACAGGATATTTTGATCACAACAGTAGTAAGGAATCTTAAGTTATTGGGCGGACAAAAAAAACCGACGGACGGCAGGACGGCCGGACAGCCGGACGGACGGACGGACAAGCTGATTCCAGTATACCCCCCCCCTCCTTACAACTTTGTTGTGAGGGGGTATAACAAGAGGGTCATGATGGCCCTGAGTCGCTCACCAGAAACAACTGCTTTATAGTGTTGGAATGTCAATATATTCTAATATTAAATTTGAGCATAGAATATGTTTAAGGAATAATTTGAAGAAATGCCATGACCTGGGGCATTTAAGCTTGAGCTTAAACCTCAGGCTATCAAATAAATATGAGCAAACTTGATAAAAGACTACCTAAGAATGCTACAAAGTTTGGTGATCATCTATCAATTAGTTCAGTAGGAAATAATGTTCTAAGGTTTTTTCTATTTTTAGCTTCAGTGACCCCTAAATAGGGCTAATCAAATTAATATAAGCAAACTTGATAAAAGAGTGCCCAAGAATGCTACAGACAAAGTTTGGAGATCATCCATCAATTGGTTCTAAAGAAGGAGATGTTTAAAGGTTTTTCTATTTTTTGGTTTAGCGGCCCCTAAATGGGGCCAATCAAATTAATGTGAGCAAACTTGATAAAAGTTTACCCAACAAGAGCTGTCGGTAAGACAGCAACGCACGATTATTCTTAGTGCTTGTTAGTAAGAAAGCCTTGATAATGTAAAATTTCCTAAGTTAACAAAAGGGAATTTTTTCCCCTTTAAATCCATGTAACAGTTATAGGCCTTGGAGAGTGTCCTATTATGGTCTCAAAGAGTATTAAATTTCATCTTGTTTCAAAGCCATATGGCAATTGCTACAAAAACTTAAACGAAAATTCTAAGTAGAAAAAGGGGCAATATTCTGTCAAAATGCATGAAAGAGTTACCTCCTCCTGTCTACAGGTGTCGGTCATGATGGTGAAAAAGTGTGCAAAGTTTAAAATCCATATGTCAATGGACTTCGAAAATATATGAGGTATTACAAAACTTTAACATAAATTCTAAGTCAAAAAAAGGGGCATAATTCCGTCAAAATGCTTGATACAGTTACATCTACCTGTCTACAGTTTGGAGTCATGATGGTGAATAAGTGTGCAAAGTTCCAAAGCCATATGTCGATGGACTTTGAAAATATTTTAGGTATTCAAACACTTTAACATAAATTCGAAGTCAAAAAAGAGGCATAATTCTGTCAAAATGCTTGATACAGTTACCTCCACCTAAGTACAGTTTGGGTCATGATTGTGAACAAGTGTGCAAAGTTTCAAAGCCATATGTCAATGGACTTTGAAAATATTTGAGGTATTACAAAAACTTTAACGTCAATTATAAGTCCAAAAAGGGGCATAACTCTGTCAAAATGCTTGATACAGTTATCTCCTCCTGTCTACAGGTCGGGGTCATGATGGTGAACAAGTGTGCAAAGTTTCAAAGCCATATATCAATGGACTTTGAAAATATTTGAGGTATTACAACTAGAACTGCCACTATCATGACGTGAATACCCCCGCATACCACTTTGTCAGAATCAACAGTGGCCATTTAGAGCTCAAGGACAACCTCCCTGCCAAATCTGAGGTTACTAAGCCAGTGCATTGCTAAGTTATGTATTCTGCATGCTTCAAATGTGAAAATGTCAAAATCAATACATTGTGGACAGGACATTCTTTAGCAATTGAGAAGAAAAGCTTTTTTTGTCAAGGTCCCTGTGACCTTGACCTTTGACCCAGTGACCTCAAAATCAATAGGGGTAACCTTATAGTCATGATAAACATCCATGCCAAATATGAAGACTGTGGGTCAAAGGAATCTTAAGCTAATGGGTGGACAAACATTTTGAAGTCAAAGTCCCTATGACCTTGACCTTTGATCTAGTGACCTCAAAATCAAAAGGGGTCATCTACTAATCATGACTAACCTCCATGCCAAACATGAAGACTGTGGGTCAAAGGAATCTTAAGTTATAGGGCGGACAAGCTTTTTGAAGTCAAGGCCCCTGTGACCTTGACCTTTGACCTGGTGACCACAAAGTCAATAGGGGTCATCTACTAATCATGACTAACCTCAATGCCAAAAATAAAGACTGTGGGTCAAAGGAATCTTAAGTTATTGGGCGGACAAGCTTTTTGAAGTTAAGGCCCCTGTGACCTTGACCTTTTACCTGGTGACCTCAAAGTCAATAGGGGTCATCTACTAATCATGACTAACCGCCATGCCAAACATGAAGACTGTGGGTCAAAGGGATCTTAAGTTATAGGGCGGACAATCTTTTTGAAGTCAAGGCCCCTGTGACCTTGACCTTTGACCTGGTGACCTCAAAGTCAAAAGGGGTCATCTACTAATCATGACTAACCTCCATGCCAAACATGAAGACTGTGGGTCAAAGGGATCTTAAGTTATAAGGCGGACAATCTTTTTGAAGTCAAGGCCCCTGTGACCTTGACCTTTGACCTGGTGACCTCAAAGTCAATAGGGGTCATCTACTAATCATGACTAACCTCCATGCCAAACATGAAGACTGTGGGTCAAAGGAATCTTAAGTTATAGGGCGGACAAGCTTTTTGAAGTCAAGGCCCCTGTGACCTTAACCTTTGACCTGGTGACCTCAAAATCAATAGGGGTCATCTACTAGTCATTACTAACCTCCATGCCAAATATAAAGAATGTGGGTCAAAGGAATCTTAAGTTATAGGGCGGACAAGCTTTTTGAAGTCAAGGCCCCTGTGACCTTGACCTTTGACCTGGTGACCTCAAAATCAAGAGGGGTCATCTTCTAATCATGACTAACCTCAATGTCAAATATAAAGACTATGGGTCAAAGGAATCTTAAGTTATTGGGCGGACAAGCTTTTTGAAGTCAAGGCCCCTGTGATCTTGACCTTTGACCTTGTGACCTCAAAATCAATAGAGGTCATGTACTAATCATGACTAACCTCCATGCCAAATATGACTACTATAGGTCAAAGGAATCTTAAGTTATTGGACGGACAATTTTTTTGAAGTCAAGGCCCCTGTGACATTGACCTTTAACCTGGTGACCTCAAAATCAATAGGGGTCATCTACTAATCATGACTAACCTCCATGCCAAATATGAAGACTGTAGGTCAAAGGAATCTTAAGTTATTGGGCGGACAAGAAAAAACCGACGGACAGCCGGACGGACGGCCAGACGGACGGCCGGACGGACAAGCTGATTCCAGTTTACCCCCCTTACAACTTTGTTGTGCGGGGGTATAAAAACTTTAACATAAGTGGTTACGCCGACGCGGACGCGGAATCCGACGCACGGGTGACTACAATAGCTCTAGTTATTCTTATCGAAAAGTCGAGCTAAAAATGATGCCTTGAGATGTTCTACATATAATAAGGCAAAATATACTTAACATGGCAGCTATGATGACCATAGATATTTCAGATGACATCTTTTGCAAGAAAATGGTCAAAATTTTTCAATGTAGAAGAAGGTAATTGAGTCATATTTGGGTGTGTAATTTAATTGTTGTTTTGTATGAACAAAAAATCTTAAAAAGAAAGTTTAAACCACTTGAGCAAAATTAGAAAGGGGTTTCTGTCACAAAAACATAATTATGTCTCGCAAAACTAGTTATGGAACTGATCCTTATGTAATATTCCGCCAACAGTTTGAACTGTTAAACTACACACAATATTTTCATATTTATAGTTCTAGCGGCCATTTTGTTCAGAGGGCCTGGACTTTCCAGCGAAAGGAACAACTAGGGATTTTACTACTTTTTCCTGTGAAGTTTCATTAATATCCCATTACTAACAAATGGGCGGGTCCCTCAGGACAGATATTCCGATCCGAACCACAACATAAGACAGATATTATTGATCTTCATTTATCAGTCGGCGATCAATTAGTTTATTTTTTCAAAACATATCGAAAAAAATATGTCCCTTTTACTTTTTTTATTTCACCACTTCTAAATAGTTTTTCGCCATACACCATGCACTTGAATCAAATCAGCTAAATAGAAGTCAGTTATCTTATTTATAATCTGCCAAGTTTGAAATTAATACAATTTTAGAAATCAGTGTTAACAAAAACAATGAAGTAAATGACCCCATTAAATTCCTTAAAGGCAGAAATACAATAGTAACAGCAAAATATTTACGTTAAACCTTTAGAAAAATAAAGACATTACAGTGGATGATTTCAAACCTGTGACACAATTTTGAGGATAACTCAAGGTAGGATGATTTCCTTTTCGTTTCTCTTAATATTTAAATTATGCGTTAACTGCTCTTTTAAAAGCATAATGGTTTTGGTTTTAAGCTCTATGGTAATAAAATACTGTTAACAAATTTAGGTTTATGAAATTTCAACACATTATTGAATAGGACCTTTTTTAAACAATGTTTAATACATAAAAGAATATAAATAGCACTTTTAAACAGTAATGATGATTGCACAAAATTCATGCGATTTTTATTCCATATTTTTTAGTTTTGTGCTGTCAGTCTGTCGGTATGTTTGTCTGCAGACAACATTTATATTGAACACAACATCTAGTTTGTATAGGCTTGTCATAGTTAATTTATTTATATTGTTTCCCCTTCCACTACTTTATCAGAAATATAATTGCTGCCTTAAAAAATAATTATCAATATAATAAAAACACACAGAAAAAAAATTATATGCAATATATGGAGAATATTTGTTTAGTTCAGTGTAAGATCGGAATATATTTCACCGAGTGAGCACCAAAAGGTATATTTGACAAGTGGCGCAGCCACGAGTGAAATATGAACTTTTTGTGTTCCCAAGGTGAAATATATTTCGATGTTACACTAAACTAAACAAATTTTCTTTTTATTATATGCAAAGAAACATTTTAAAAAGACATTAAACCTAATACTGAATGAAAAGCGCGCCAAATAATAATACAACGTGACGTCATTTACGACGTCACGTCATTAAGTTGGTACCCAACACTGTGCACGCTGTTATTCACTGAAACAACGTAAGGGGCTTAAATTCAAAACAGTGAAATTATCAAAGTGGTAATTTCACTGTTTCAAACAGTGAAATTACCAGTTTTCTATCACTGATATATATCTATAAACCACCGAAAAGCATGTTATAAACAAGGTTGCATTTGAGAAAAATGCTATGCCACCGCATTAATACAAAACTAAATAGTAGTGTAGGAACCTATTTTTTTTGTTTCTATACAATTGAAGATTGTCATAATGCATAGATCCCTGACCTATTTAATTCTTATTATCAGATTAGTGGTTAAATCTATTGTTAATCCAATAAAAGATCAGAGTAGGAATATATCAATGCACTTGAGTCTGGTGAATTTGGCGGTGAAGGTCATATTTTACACAGCCTAAATATCATGACTACATCAAAGGACAACACAGTAAGACACTTTGTCAAAATCTAGGTCAGCTGATATCAAAGTTCACTTTACATCTTAATCTGTGCACATGGTTCAAATTTCATAGCTGTACATGAAAGGACAAGAAAGTAGGTCACATCATCAAAATCTAGGTCACCTGATATCAAAGTTCAATTTTACAATTTAAACTGTGCACATGGTCAAAATTCCATTGCTATACATCAAAGGACAAGAAAGTAGGTCACTTTCCCCTTGGGCAAGGCAAAATTTTGACCCAAGGGTTTAATTCAAAACAATCTTGATACAGGTCCACCAAACAACATTTCAAGACAAATATCTGAGCTGTAGCTTTCTCCCATATTTTCTGTTTTTACTATGTGTACATAATAAGAATCACGGCCCCAGGGCAGGGCCAATTTTGACACCAAGGGAAAAGTTTGAACAACTTTGGTAGAGGACCTATAGATGATATTATATAGCAAACATCAAAGCTCTATGCCTTGTACCTTCAGACAAAAATATTTTTTTTGTACATAATGAAAATCAATGACCCCTTGGGTGGAACCAATTTTGACCCCAGGGCAATAATTTGTACAATCTTGGTAGAGGTTCAAGCCTCATAAAGTCTCATGCCATATATTTAACCTCTAGCCTTTGTCAATTCAGAGAAGAAGTTTTCAAGTTTTTACTTTATACATATAAGGAAAA